CTCGAAACATTTGTCTTGCGCCGCTATAGAAGTTGCTTCTCCCGCGAACCATAGGTAGATTTCCCGCTTAACATAATGTTTGATAATTTATGCAAAAGTTGACCTCGTGAAAGTCAGCAGTGCATTAATCGACTCAAAAATAAACAGACTTCCTACAGGGTTTTGAACACGGTTTTAATTAAAGTACTTTACGAGCGCTGCGGTAGTTGACCGCAAAAGTGTTATGGTGATGGATACTCAACTGGATGATTACGTCACTTCATAGAAACCAGACGGTACGAATTTTTTAACTTCCGGAGCGCTGAGGCTCGTAGTGTTTCCCAGTCAACAGACGTCGTCGTCGTGAATTTCGTCGTGGTTCTCAAGTTCCCTAGTTCTAGACCCTCGGCGTGATGATCGATCGATTACCGCCGTGTACCAATCAAGTATGATGAAACAGAAAGGCATAATGATTCCGAGGGACTAAACACCGTCTTTTTTTCACTTCGGTACTACGAAACGGTAATCATTATGACAGTCTGTTCCAACCAGGGGGGCAGACTATGGGGATGGAACGAAGAAGAGAAATGTCCAAGAGGGGCGACAAAATGGGGAGGAAAGTCCCAACTATCTGAACGCCTGAAACATTTTGGGCCTCCTCCGCTCGCCATTACTTTATGAAGATTTTGTGTCTTTTGCTCTCTTGTAATCATTTATTTCTGTGGGAATTAAATAAAATACAAATACCAGAAATACAAATACCTGACGGGCTTCGGTCGGAATAAATAGACAGAGTTTCAAGTTCGATCCGTCAAGTGTGTGATGATGTTCCAGGACTCTCGCAGCGACTAAGTCAAAAGTAGAACAATAACATACAACACCAATAAAATCTTAGATCGAAATATGTTGACGGAATATTGAGCTCAACGACGAAGCCGGAAGTAAGTTCCGCTTATTTATAGTCTGGCAATTTTTAAATTATGGTCAAATAAAAGCAAAATGCACTGAAAATGTAACAAGAACCAAGCTCTATATACAGACCTTCACTTTTGTCAAAAGTTACAACAGCTGTGCCTTTGCTGGGAATATGCACATGACTGATCTCCCCTCCGCCATTCTTTTGCCGCTGAAAATAAATAACAATGTCTTCACCTGTAGTCTGCGGTGCTATATTCGTCACCACCAAGCTCCTTGCCGCTTGCTCTCGAGTTAGAACCTTCCCTTCAGGTCCGTTCGACAAAATGCCATTCGGGAAACTCGCCATTTAGGAGGCTGATTCAGTGGGAAATTATCCTCCAAAGTGCGAGTATAGAGTATTCCGCAACTGCCTTCCGAGAAAGATAAGGAGTAGGACTGGAACCAAAAATAAGTCATTTTTGTTGGGATTCCCGGAACTACGATGAGGTCACTTCCGCTTTAAACGTTCGATTTCTCAGAAAACTAGTCGCTGCTCTTCGTATGTAGAAGCTCGGTGCTGGCTCTTTCTTTCAAGGGGCTACGATCGGCCTTCATACGAAAAAATGTCTAGTTCCATCATTGTGCGAAAGGAAGAAGACATTGGTGACATCGATCCAACGAGTATTTCACGAAGCGTGTTTGTAACAGGCTTCAATCCCGCGACAAAATCTGAGGACCTTATTATTCATTTCCAGCGTAAGAAAAATGGCGGCGGGGATATCGACAGCATCGTCATCAGTAAGAAGGGAACTGCAGTAATAACATTTGATGATCCTAAAGGTGAGGTGAAATCTAATGTGTCTAGCGAACTGGAATCGACTGAAGCGAAATTTGGATTACGGCGAATGTTTCTTAAATTAATATAGTAAATATTGGGATTAGGATCTACTTCCTTGATTAGACTCGGCGGTCTTGCTTCACTTTCGAGCAGGCATACTTTCGTTGTCTGTTAAGAAGGTCTTAAGCAATTTCTTTTGTTGCAGTGGAATATTCAATTCTGCTCGTCAACATTTTTCAGTTTTGGCTGAACATGTGAACAGTCGCTCCTGGTTTTACTTTACATCTTACACTTTCACTGTTATGAAGAGCAGACGTTTGCTCGCGTGACGCAAGTGTATTTTTGATGGCTGAAACAAGAAAGAGAGGGAATTATGTTTTCTAAATTAACCTTCTCAGACTAAGCTCTTTCAGGGAAAATGTTTGTCGAGTTTACCTGGAGTTCAATAGTTTTACTCGCTTTCTGCTAGCTGCTTTTGTGAACGAAATTAGCATTAACGGGCGGGCTTGGACACCGTCGATTTCATCTTAGTGTGACCGAGCAATGAAACAAAAATACTAGAAAGTTACATGAAAATGAAATTAGTTTATATCTGATTAAGGCGACCTTCGCTCTTGTAGTCTTCAACCCAAAATGACTGATCTAAAAGCAAAGAAAGTCAGTTTCACTTTCATAATGAGCTTGAATATAAATAATGTTTGACAGATTTTGGTCACCCAATCAGATCACTCTGTAAATCAAGAGCAAATGTCACGCAAGTTAACTCTGTACGAAATATAAAAGTTTAAATAGTCGGTGAAACCTGTTGGAAATCTTTACAAACAGATACTAGGAGGGTACCGAGGGAATAACCTGCATAAACGTATCTGACGGCCTTAAAAGTTATTAAAATGTTGAGATTAAAAGCATTTACAACCGTGGCAAAGTTGTGGCAACCTTTACGTACCATATCCATTTCTGTTAACATTGCCAGTTGTGAAACGTACTTTTAGCGTGGTTCACGAGTGTAAAACCATATTAACTTGGATGATATGTACAGTTAACGCGATTTTTACTCTGTTCTTCTAGTTGTTTCATCACTTCTGCAGCATGAACAGGAATTTGAGGGAATGGTTTTAACAGTCGCACCATATTTAGATACTCTACTCAGCAGAAATGACAAGTACTTTAAGGTATTCGTTAACTTTTGGAATTTTTTTGTGTGTGGTCAAACGACTGGTGGTTTAGGTTTAAAATTAGTTGCAGTCGCCTCTTAACTCCAAAAGCCTCTATAACGCTTTTGCTTCAAAAGAGGCTACGATTTAAAAAACAGAAATAACATTGGATTTGAACCGGTGATGTTATGGAACACCAAAGTTTCAGTGCATATACCTTGCCACAACATTTTTTCACTGTGATAGTTCACGGTATGCATAGTACTGAACTTTTTCCCCAACAAAGTACTTTTAATTAGCCAAACATTTTTGCCAGGCAGAGCAGGCTTAAGCACAGGACCCAGACTCACAACAGCCTACTAGAAGCCAAATTATAAGGATTTGTATAAACCTGTATGGGAATTTATCGAAAGATCGATAAAACGCTTAAAATGCACATAAACAGCCATGAAAGTGTCCAAACCTCATAAAGAGTTGTGTCTGTGTTGTTTTCTTACTGTTTCCTGCCCTATAAACGCCATTTTAGCAAGTTTTTATGATTTGGTTTCTCACTTACTAAGAAGAAGATAAGGGATTCAAAACTGGGCTGTACTAGGCTTCCCGAAGAAAAAGCTCCAAAAATTACCTTCATTCCACTCCAATCCCGAACTTCGCTTGAGCATCCTTCCTTCCTTGTCAATTTAGTTCCAAACATCGAGTCATGATGGTCTGGGCACCCTGTGGTTTAAGCGACGAGAGATAAGTCTTACATGTTAAGAATGATTCTGCGACGCTGTCAACATCAGAAACGCACTTTGTAGTATTTTCCTTTGGTCTCAGTGTGCGAGAATGAGTTAATGGAAGAGTGCATAATATGAGCTAGATCGTATATCTATCTCTTTTTCGTCTTTCTTTCATAACAGGTTTTCGAACTGGTCTCTGCAGAACTTTGCTTAGAATTTGTAGAATATTTATCCCGCAAAAAAACGAGATCTCTCTTGAAAGACATGAAAGCCAGGAATGGCGTCGACTGGATTGAATCAAGCGAGAATTTCATTATGTCAGGAACTTTTAAGCAAGTGGAGGAGGCTCATTCCTTTTTGCAGGAGAATGCAAGTCAGTCTTACGGAATAGTGGTTTCCGATTACCTGAAAAAAAACGAGTCGGGGTCTGAAGAAAGTGAAGACGTCAGGCCTCCGCTTGATGACAAGGATGACACTGAGAAAGATGTAAGTCAAAAGGGACCAACTACAGCAGCTGCGAATAAAGAAATTTACCGTCCTGAAAGATTTATGGACGAAACACACGAAGATTCTATGGTTAATTCTGCATCCCCAGATACTACGGGCTTTGAGATTCAGCCTAAGATACTCGAAGTTTTTGTGAAAGCGCATAAGAAAGAACTTGAAGACATCGAGATTAAATACCACGTTGAAATACCCAGAAAAGCGGATGGAAAGAAACTTAGCCTAAAGCCCAAAGATTCTTGTACAACCGAGTATTACGAACAAGCTTGCAACCAATTCATCTCTCTGTACCAAAACACGTACCAACAAGTAAAAATGCAGCGCTTTTCGCTCAAAACTGAGACAAATATAATAAGTGCACGTAATACAATTAGTAAAATGGGTAAACATTTCCCAGTATCGGTAGAAATTGACAAGAATCAGAAACAATGGGGACTTTATGGAGAAGCAAGCCACATTGAAGAGGCTCTCAGATTCCTGGAGAAGGAAGGAGTTGAAATCAACAGGGAAAGAGAAGATGAAAAAGGACGACGCAAAAAAGCAAAAGATGTTGAAGAGGATATGGAAGTTGACCCACCTGAGACCTCCAGTGTTGATCCAGGTCATCGGCTAGAGGCCTATATACTAGGTTAGTACGAAATCTATACAAGTGGGGTAATTTTTGTGAATGTGGAGGAAGAATGTCCCAAAATCCCTATTGTGCCCAATCTGCGAACAGCATGCCTGAGTTCCTTTCGTGAGTTCGTACACGACGGCTATTGACTCGATCACGGCTTGTCTGTCTCATGTACCAAAGAAATGAACTCAGTTAGGAAACTTTCGGTTAGCTGCAAACTCCCCATTTCAAATACTTTTTACCCGAAAACTAAAGACGCTTTTCCAATAACCTGCATGGCACGGTTTTGTCGGTTTTGTCGGGAGCAATCTCCTGGCGGCTTCTCTGCCCTCGCCCGCCTTTGTTTACTTTGCGCGCCCAACCAAAACCGCCGTGCTACGCAGGCTATTTTTCCAAAAATACAAGCTTGAGCTTACAACAGGTATTCACGCTCACAGCCACGAAAACGTCGCATGAAAAGTGAATTCACAGTCTCTATCGTGATTATTCCAACTCGCTTACTTACTCAAATGCAAACGAACTCTTCTGGAGCTGAACTTCTATCAACCACATCCAAATTGATAAAGAGAAAAAAAAATTTGTCATTGCTTGATTACGTCCTTTACAAGCTTGCGCTTACAGCAGGTATTGTAAAACGTGAAATTAGGCATTTTCACGTGGTAGCCGTGCAGTGACGGCAAAGAAATGTACAAAAAAGCGTGATGTTTTTTTGATCTTGTTTTGCCATGTCAAGCCGTATTGCTTTATTTACTTTCCTGTGCAAATTGAATTGGTCCTGCTGATAGCATCCGAAACGTTTTTTCGATTCATTTGTAGTTCCCTCATTTCTGGTTAGGAAAGTAGAAAATGAAAGTTTCCCTTGCAGGAAAAACCTTGGTGAACGAACCGGGCAAGTGGGCGAGAAGCCGTCGGGTACGAACTCACAAAAAGAACTCAGAAGAAACTGTTCGCCAATTGGGCACAATATTACGAAGCATTTTTTGTGCCTAATCAGGAGCCAGCATTCGCTTGACCGTTTGGAAATGGTCTGGTGAGAGTGGTACTCAGGGGCTCTTCCGCTCGTGCTTGAAAACTTTTATCGCGCTTTTTCTCCCAACCCGACTGACTGCCGCTGGGTCTCTGAGGATGAAGTAACCCTTTCTCTTACAGTGTAAACATGGTGCTTGAGTTCGTGACGGTTTATGTCAGTGTCTTTTATCTGTTGACATTCAAGGTGGAAGGATAAAATTGTCTGTTTACAAGGACGACATAACCGAGCAGAGAGTTGATGTCGTCGTGAATGCCGCAAATAGGGAGCTTCAACACGATGGAGGAGTAGCCGCCGCCATTTTAGCCAAGGGAGGAAGAACAATCAAAGAAGGGTCACAGGCGATTATTAGGAATCGTGGTTTTCTTAAAGATGGCGAAGCAGTCGTCACCAATTCTGGGAAACTGCCATGTAAAGTAGTTGTTCATGCTGTTGGCCCAAGGTGTAATGACGTAGCAGCTAAGAAAAGTAAGAAGATTCTTCGACAGGCTTGTCTAAACAGTTTTATTGAAACAGAGAAACTAAACATGACGTCTATAGCATTACCGGCTATCGGTTCTGGCAATAATGGGATGCCGAAAGATCTCTGCGCCGAAGTCATGTTTAATGCCGTGGACGAGTATGCGAGGCAAGGTGACGCAAAGAAGAAGAAAATCGTCGATATAAGGTTCGTAAATATAGATGATTCTTCGGTACAGGCTTTCAGTAAAGAGTTGAAGAAAAGATATGGCGTATACCCTGAAAGGTACAGTCTTGACAAGGAAACCGGAGGAGACAGCTCTGGTCGTTCTCCCTCATCCGCCGGAGCCGAAGGTGGTCGTTCCGCTGTGCCGCCTTCAAGATCCATTCGAGGTAGAGGCCAAAGCAGGGACAACCGTCATGCTACCAATAGAAACGACACCGGCATTGGCCATCATGGCCACAGCACCTATGAATTTTCAGCTGCTAACAGCCACCATCCCTTGATGAATCCGTCTGATCATCTTACAACTACGAACTCATACAGTAACGCGGTGAAAGGAAATACACGTAGTCACGATACGAAGCTGTTGCAAGATCACCAGCCTCAAGGAAATGGAGGAACGGGTGGATTATCAATCCCTTTTAACGGAGGCGGTGAAGCCCATGCGGACAAAAACGAGGAAGGTAATCTCTATAACTTAAATTGAGAGATTTATATCTAATCCTTAAGACTTGCCTCCCTCGGGCAATTTGCAGAAAACCAAACGTCACTGGAATTTAAATAAAGAGTTACTGAGCCCAGAAAGTTTTTTTATGTTTGCCATGTTTGCGTTTAAGATCAAAGTCGGTTTTAACGGGTTTGAAAATATGCAATAAAACTAACGGTTAATAAAATAATATGGACTAGTTCGGGGGTTGGGACCTGCTAATCACCGGTTCAGATCTCGCTCGCCTCTGTTTGTAGGTTTGGGAGATAACTTCAGGCTGTGAGATGGAACTTTGAATGGGGTGTAACAGGAATACGTATAAACACCGCACAGAATAACATAAGAAAACTGCAAACTGCATTGAAATGACACGAAAATTTCTAAAAACCGCAAACCGCTTGCTTTTGTAAAACCGCAATACCGCAACTTAAAATAACAGTTTCTGCATAACCGCATCACCGCAAACCCTTACGTTCCCCTTGTTGATGGATGACAAAAGGGGGTGGGCGGATGGAGGGCAACCTTAGAAAGGTTTATACGGAAATGCTTTTTCCTAAGGACAAAACCCCTTTTATAACAAACAGAATACACAACTTCTACATTGGTGGCACCACCTTCATGTATCTAGAAGCGTTTCCGGTTAATAGCTGACCTACAAATGGACAAAATCTAGAGAGGAAAGTTCAACAAATTTATATTTATTATCATAACTTTTATTTTTCGCAGAGGTCTGTCCTATTTGTCTTGATAAAAAATCAAAGCCACGAAGTTTGAAGTGCAAGCACAGTTTTTGCTCAGAGTGCATTCAAGCTGCTTTAAATGTGTGTAACAAGTGCCCGGTATGTCAACAGCCTCAAGGTGTTATCGTAGGAAACCAGCCCCGTGGACAGATGACACTTCGTTTTGATCGTTACAGCGTTCCAGGCTATGAAGGTAAAATTCCATACCGAGAAAAACCAACTCTACGCTATTACTACATTTCCGTGTGTCTTGTACTTAAAAACATTGACAATAGCAACAAGTCGCGTTTAAAGTTGCTAAAATTGGCTCTGGTGGCAAATGTAATGTCCTTGTCAGGGGCGTAGTCAGTTTTCGGCTAGTTGTAGGCCTGGCTGACTTTCATTACCATGAAAATAGACCATTTAATTCATACTTAGCTCCAAGGATTTGGGGAATAAAACAAAAGAAATGTATTATTCATTACTGAGCCTCAAGATGATTTCATTTCATTCCGCCAAGCCTTGCAGCCAGGTATGAATCTTACTGTATCGAAATTGGTCTATTGCTCGCATGACTAGTACCCACTGACCTCACCAACACTTTAAGCTCTTTATAAGCTTTTTAGCTCACCCCAACAACGCATAATTTATTACAAGCGGTAGAGTGATCAAAGCCAAAATTTTTAGGCCCGCACCTACAGGTCTATCGGCTGGCTACGCTCCTGCTTGTGTATGTAATAGATATACGTATACGTGTTGGCAATGTAGTTACCTTTTCAAACGTACCATGTGCTTATTCTGCTGCATATTCTTCTGTGTCGGTTTATATCCTAATGTTGCTATTATGTGAAACTTTTGTAGGCTACGGCACAATCGTCATCGATTATTACTTGCCTTCAGGATTACAAGGTCCGGAACATCCAAATCCTGGTCAGCACTATCAAGGTACATCACGCACTGCTTATCTCCCAGACAATCGTGAAGGACGAGAGGTGCTGCAGCTTTTGAGGAGAGCATTTGATGCTCGACTGGTTTTTACAGTGGGCACCTCCAATACAACAGGGCTTTCAAATCAAGTGATATGGAATGATATTCATCACAAGACCAACAGATTTGGGGGTGCTTCCGGGTAAGAAGAAAATCTGAATAAGCAACATATGTAGGCCATACGTACTTTCCTGGAGTACGTCTCATTGCCAGAAATTAGGGACAAGATGGCGCTTGCGCGTGCGCACTAAGGCCATAATGGCTGCGAATTCGTACAAGAAAATGTATGGAGATAAGAAAACTTGTTCAAATATATCGATTATGAGCTCACGGGTCTTCGGTGCACGACTCGAAACATGTTAAGTGCTGTGTAACCTTCACATCTGGGTTAAAAATGGCTAACTAGAAGTAGGTCTACTTACTTCCCGAAGTGGCCACTTTTATCTCTCGTTGTACGCTCCATTTCTCCATACATTGTTTTAAAATCTTGCCGAAGTCATGCGAAATACTCGTCGATTAGAGGATAAACCCTTCAATGAAGTAAATTTGCACGACTCGATATCACTTCTGCGATGTAAGATGTTTCCTAAACAGTCGTAAAAAGGACGATTTTGGCACTGCAAAATACTTCCAAAGGCGCATTATTTCCCTCAGTTTTCCATCTGTAGTCCAGTAATGGACGCCATAGTTGCGAATGACACATTTCGGTCGGACAAATCTTAACAACTCCAAACCTCACCGAATCGCCATTTTGTTTGTTGCTAATAATAATAATAATAATAAATAAAAAAATATTTTAATAATAAAATATTTATATAGCGCTTATCCCGGGCGCTTATACTTTTCAGTGCTAAGCGCTGCTACAACTCCAAAGATGCTTCACGGGATATAAACTAGGTTCCAGGCATTCAAAAATCCTCGATTAGCCTACCAGGCTTGGTTTTAAAACAAAATTGTCACGAAAATGTCACGAAAGATACATCCGCGTACTGTTTTGTTGCTATCAGCCGCTCGGCCGAGTATAAACCTAACATTTTCTTGCAAGGTGTTTTATTCCAGCTTTTTTCTTCGTAAAACAGATCCACAGAGCTCAAATTATTTAAAAAATCGCAGGGGATACGCTTTCCCTGACTACGATCGTTTTTGTCCGTCATTTTGAAAATGAGATTCCGCTGACAATTAATCACGGGCGCGAAATGTCCACGATTTCTGGCAATGTTGTCACTAGTCTCCGGGCCAATTTGGCCTCACGTCAATTGAAGGTTTACACTATATATTACGAGAAGCACTACTGCAAGGTTCTTTACCGCAATAAGTGAAGCAAGGTTTTGCAAAATAAATACTTTTCGCGATCGTCGAATCGAGCAGTCATTAAGGAAGTCTTTGTTTGAGGTTTAATACTGTGATATGACAATCGCAAGCGCTAACAATTGTTTCCTCGTTTTGCATTTACCTAGTATCCAGTATCCTTGTATCCTTTTATCTTTATAGTATCTATTCATCCATCCACCCATCCATCACTCCCGCACTCCTTCCTTTCATTTATCCATCATCCGTTCGTCCTTCGCTTTATTCATTCATTCATCCAGTCCCAACTATGTTTCGTACCGTGCTACTATCTACCCGTTTCTTGTAACTATTCACTATGGCTTGACACCTTTCGCTTATTGCTAACAGGGATTATCTTCGCTTGCTTGACACTTTAAAGCAGTCCCCTTTACCTATTAACGTGGTTTTGTCTTTGTTTAAGGTTTGGCTATCCCGATCCAGACTATCTTCGGAGGGTCAAAGAAGAATTGGCGGCTAAAGGAATCCAATAAATGATATATGAAGTGTCTTAGGTTCAACATACGGTGTAATATTCACTGCTATTTTCAATTTTTTTTTTTTTTTTTCATGTAGAGTGTCAGTAATGACGAAGTCCAGCATTGAACATGAGAAAGGGACTAGGAAAATTTATTTTCAAACACAAGGGGCCGGTTACCGTATTTATTCGATTAACCGCCCTGGGCGCTTATTAAATTTTTGGACCTTGAGAGTGGGCGCTTATTCGAGGTGGGCGCTTATTCGAGGCTGGGTTCTTATTAAATTTTCACCATTGTCAGCAAGTGAAGTATGTTTATTTTGCAACAAAACAATAAATGCTAATAACAAAACGCGAAGAAGTAACAAAGCAAGGTTTCTGTAAAATACTCTGAAGAAAACTCCGTCCTCGGGAAAGTCTTTAATAGAATTTATTCACTCAAGTGGGTGGGGTGGGGGTAAACGCTTATTTGAGTTTGATTGGGAGGAGGAGGAGGTGGGTGCTTATTCGAGGCTAGGCGCTTATTAACTTTTTCTGCCTTTAGGATGGGCGCTTATTCGAGGTGGGCGCTAATTCGAGGTTGGGCGCTTATTCGAATAAATACGGTATTTAAACGAAGTCTAACTTAAGCCGCGGTTTAACAAATCTTTGACCTCCAGGTCTCTTCCTCAGTGGGTTATTTTAAGGAGATAAATGCTTTTCTGGTCTACTCTATATGTTTTCATAAAACTTTTCACAATAAATAGTGTTCAGATAAAACCATTGGGCCAATTGATAATGGCTTAGAACGCGGTTTTGTTAAACATTGCGACAAAACTACGTTTAAATTACTGGCCCAAACATCTTTTCCTCGTGCATGTGGTCAGTTTAAAATGGTTATAACATTAACGAGCTAGATCAAGCTTCAAATCACGAAAAAAAGGATTATAATTAATCAAATAATTAAATCTAGAGGAAGGATACTAACTAAGAAAATGAAGGGGAAGAAGGGTTTATCGATTGCACAGTACATATCTGACAGTTAGTGGCCATGTAATTTTCCTTTTTGTTTTGTCTTCTTTTTATAAACTCAGAGACTTGTTAATAAAGAACGTAGCTTTTAGCTGGTTTTCAATTTCAAGGATAGGTTAACAGCTTTGCCCTCTTGCTGCCAGTTATCGCTGGCGACAGGAACTGTCTTACTATAATCAGGTCAGTGAACGAGGGCTTGCGGTTGAGTTTTCAGTGCGTGAACTATTTTGAAACTTTCAGTTAAAAGTCAGTTTATCAGTTCTAAGAAAGTTAGTTTCTCGTGGCGTATAGATAGGACTGTTACTATTACTAAATAACAGATGTACACTGTAGCATGCTATCGGATCGTTTTGTAGATATTTTGTAGGCAAACGAATGCCTTTTTCGGGCTATGCATGTTCGAAAGTATACCGGACCACAGCTTTTGGTGTCGGTCAATAGTCCGGTACGTAAAGTGTAAACATTAGAATGACATTTTCCACGGCAGCAAAAGTGAAAAACGTAGTTTAAACGACGCGTGCAAGTGTAGCGATACCTTTGCCAATGTGCAAATGTGGGCATTTAAAACACTGATAAAGGAACATTTTGCGGGAAAGTATTTTAGCCTGACACCATTAAAGGAGACGGGGAAGAACTACAGGAAAAATAATCTCGCTCAGTGTTACTTGAGATGTCGGGCTATTGACTTCTAAGGCCTCTTGCCTCGTTACCGTTAGGCAGCCTGTATATATATGTCCGGTAGGGATATTACGGAATGCAGACAAGATAGCCTCCAGGGCCATGTTATTCAAAGCAGGATCAAGATAATCCAGGATTGGCGCGAAATTAAAACACAGATCTCACGCCTACAAGGCAAATCCGGGTTGATAATTTTTGCCAACAGTTCCTTGTTTGGATGCTCCAAAATGACCAGTTAAAATAAACAGAAAACTGTTCGGGAATAAAATTTTGCACGCCCTCAGTGGCTAGCGATTATCGGCCGTCAAAGCAACTGGGCACGCCGGGCAAGTTTTTGTTAGATAGGCTGCCAACTTAAACAGTTGTCAGTTACCTGAAAAAAGACATTACCTTGATTTGTATTTTTGCATGGCGTGGTCGGAGTGCTGTATCTTTTTGTTGTTAGCAATAGCAAGAGACCATTTTTCTTTTTCGCTCCAGATAAACTTCTGTTCATAAATTTCCTGTGATAGTTAAAATTCGCTTAAGATAAATCAGGAATGATCAAGTATGGCTTACAATGCTTATGTCATATTATTGTAAACAAAAAATAAAAGTAGATGTGTGTGCCGGATAAAAGGCTTTCTTTCTTCACGTTCTAATGTTCTCGGACCTTGAAGGGTAACTCGGTCCACCACACCCTTGAAAAAAACATATTTACCGTGTCCTAAACAGGGTGTATAATTTCGTGCTAATTATGAACGGGGTATTGCCAGCAGAATAGATTTCATTTGCTCAAGCCGACAATGTTTCATGACTTATGAATGGCTTTAAAACAAGACAGCATGCATTTTCCCCTTTCTCCTAAACAGGGTAATAAAACTGAAGGTGTTGTCAAACGGAGCATGCATTTCAGGATTCTCTTATTTCTTAAAGAGGGTCAGGGTTTCAAACCAAGAGAGAATGAGCGTTTCAAACCTATACTCAAATATTGGTCTAGCATCTCCCCTGCCCCCTCCTCGGGATAACAATGGATAAAGAACGAAGTCTGACTAACATACTGACAAAACCATCTAGACGCGGGCCTGCGTGAGAGGCTATAGTGGGCAGTACAGTAGGCTAGACAAACTACAAAACAAAATATTCAGTCCCTTATGTGTGACCATTTTTAAACAGTGACTTCAGAATTCACTGTGTGCGTAGTTTCTTTTGAAATCACTTTTGCCCTACAGAAGTGTAAGGGTTTTATTATATTTTGTTTATTCTCCAGCGCAGGTCGAGAAAATACATGTGAAGGGGGAAGGGGGAGAAAGTACACGTGAAGTTCTTTAAGACTGTATGTTGCACACCGTTGCACCAGCAATATCAGTTAAATCATTTCCCGATTTTAATACGCGAGAAGAACCTGGGGACGAGCTGGAAAGTCACACACGGAACTTCCGCTAATTCTGGGAAAGATCGTTGTTTCTTTAATTTGTATCTCCACACTTCGCACCGGTTTTCCCTTGGCAATGATGGCGCAAAGTAAGATATTTTATTCCGTATAATTTTAAAGTAACATGCTTGGAGGAGTATGACAAAGTTAACAGCAAAAAATGCTGAACTGCCGCCTTCAAACGCCTGTCAGTAGAAGTTTCGGTTTTGGTAGTGGCGCGTCCGGTTGTTTGCATGTGTTTGTGTTTGCATGTGGTTGTTTGCATGTGAACTTCTTCCTGCTCGCAACACATATACCTTTAACCTAAGAAATCTGCGGAAGTTTAAGCCATGCAGCTTTTAAGACGAACAGGTTTCGTAGTAGTTTAATTACCTTTAACGCCCTCAAGGCTTGAACGGTTTTAGTAGATTTTTTAAACCTCTTCTATATATTTTTTAGAACATATATATAGTGTCCTTATTTGCTGTTTTAAATCACTTGTAGTCTTTTTAATGTAATTATCAATATTCAATTTTTTGTAAATAATCGTATAATTCAACTTTTAGTTGCAAATCGGTTATTNCTTCTATATATTTTTTAGAACATATATATAGTGTCCTTATTTGCTGTTTTAAATCACTTGTAGTCTTTTTAATGTAATTATCAATATTCAATTTTTTGTAAATAATCGTATAATTCAACTTTTAGTTGCAAATCGGTTATTAATAAACTATCTATCTATCTATCTATCTATCTATCTATCTATCTATCTATCTATCTATCTATCTATCTATCTATCTATCTACCTTGACACTTACGATTGTCAAGAAGGCTAGGAGTCCTTTGTTTCATCGGTGAAAGTGGGAAATGAACGTCTTTTCAAGAAATACAGCCAGTTACCGATTCCTTTCATTTAAGAAACTTAGATAGAGGAGTGAAGACCCACGCTAAATATAACCTAGCTAACATTTTATATTTAATATCGTCTATCTTCCGTGATATGGCGTTGTATCATATTTTTCCACAGACAGCTGTCCTATTTGTCTCGATCCCATGTCAAGTCCAAAAAGTTTAAAGTGCAAGCACAGTTTTTGTCTAGAGTGTATTCAAACTGCTTTAAATGTGTGCAACAGGTGCCCGGTCTGTCAACAGCCTCAAGACGTTATCACAAGAAACCAGCCTCGTGGACAGATGACTTTCTATACTGATCGTAACAGCGTTCCAGGCTACGAAGGTAAAACTCTTTAGAGCCAGAATTTAAACAATAAATTTGCGTAGCTGCTATAGCCACGTAAGTGAAAACAAGAGCGATTTTACTCACTAGCAAAGTAGCGTCTTTGCAAATTTCTTGGAACAAAGGAGAGTTTTTATATAAGAAAAAGGTTAAACTCCCAACATAGTGGCCTTTTTATTGTTTTGCAACACCAATATGGCTGCTTTGACAGTTCCATGTTTGGATGCTCTAAAATGGTAAGTTAAAATAAATGGAAAACTGATTCAGAACAGGAACCTGCGATAAAATTTTGCACGCCCTCAGTGACTAGCGATTATATCGCCCGTCAAAGCAACTGGGCTCAGGAGACAAGCTACTGATAGATAGGCTGCCACCTATGACGTGATGTTTAAACGCTATATTAAATGTAACATTTGCAGGCTACGGGAAAATCGTCATCAGTTATCAGTTTCCCTCCGGAGTGCAAGGCCCGGAACATCCAAACCCTGGTCAGCATTATTAAGGCACATCAAGCACTGCTTATCTTCCGGACAATCGTGAACGACGAGAGGTGCTGCAGCTTTTGAGGCGAGCCTTTGATGCTCGACTGGTATTTACAGTGGGTACCTCAAATACAACAGGGCTTTCAAATCAAGTGATATGGAATGATATTCATCACAAGACTAGCATATCTGGGGGTCCTTATGGGTAAGGAATTAATAGGTTCGCCTAGTGCCATTCAAGGCACCCTTTAGTAATTTCGTATCAAAAGACTTAGAATTACCCATATCTTGTCATTTTCGACTACTGTGTTCAATGTTAAGTGACTCAAGACTTGTGAACATATTCAGTTCACAGAAAAGAAATCGTGCTAATTATAAAATCGCCCAGTCACTTGGACAAGTATTCAACTAAATGATGCTCGCCTAAAATTGGGATGAAGAAGGATCGACTGTCAGAAGGATCTGGATTTGATTCAAAGTTCAATAATAGAGCTGTAATTTGTCCATTCATCTATTCTTGCTTCCTACTGTCTCTTTGTCTAACTATTGTGTTTCGATTAACACTGAGAGGAAATAAGCCCCATTTCAGTTCAACACCGATGGACTGAAGCAACCGTTTTAAGTCTTATATTCATAAATGCGATTTTTTATTTTCAAGGTTTGGATATAACCGATCCAGGCTACCTACGGAGAGTCAAAGAAGAGTTGGCTGCTAAAGGAGTCCGATGAATTCGTCATCCTCAGTTTTGTAAACCATTACGCAATGTACTATTAATAGACCGTTTTGAGATGTTACACAGTATACAGCTCCTTTTGAAATTGTTTAGACATTTGAAGATAATAAAATTCGAACGTAACAGGGATTATAGCAATCAATATCCTTTTTTGCCTATAAGTTTGTTTAATAATTACCAATAGAATGCAAAAGAGAAACTGATTCAAGAAGTGATTCCCCAAAAGAAACGCTGAATTGAGGAATATCCATGTAAAAGTAGACGCAGTACTGTAGTACTTCATACTTCCAATGTATGATAGGACATCAGTTTTCAGTGTAAGGCAAGAAAACAAACAAAACAAAAACAAAATATCCCTGCGACACTAAAAGCTAGGGGAGCTTTTAGACCCTATTTTTTAGACCAAGTCAAATTTAGAAGGATTTGTATGGAGTCATCAGAGCATAACTGAGCTAATGACTCAGAGACAATTTGCCCCGCAACGATAATTTTTGGCAAGTAGTCGTCTTGGACGTTGTTCTTTCAGAATATCTTGACAAATCCCATAATTTCACGAATTTAATTTTTATGACGTCATCACTTTAGAACTCTTTAGAGTTAGAAATTCTATGAAGATTGCGGCTGTTTACTTTTAAACCACAATTTTCCCAGAAATTCCTGTTGGGATATAAATGGTAAACGTTTTTTTGGTTTGTCCCACTGGAAAATTCCCGGGACAAACGGAAATTCTGAAAAGGTAGTCCCGTTTTCCCGGTTGGGGCGTTCCGAACATAATGGAAATTCGTTTACCATTTACAAGTTTCTTGAGTTTCGTACCAGTTTCATGTTGTGACTAGAATCCAGTCTAGCGCGGCGCGATAATCCGAAAATTTTAGGTAAATGGTAAACGACACGTGCCGTTCTTACCGATTGAAGATTCCTAACCAAAATTTCCGGAATTTTTTTATAAATAGTGAAAAACCATTTTGCGACCACGGTGACAGCTTAGTCTGTAATATAGAGGTGTGCTCTTCAAAAGAAGACGTTTGTTTTTATTCACATGCGTAGTACTAGCATTAAGAATATGTGAAAAAATATGTGAACCAAGAAAAAGAAGAAGACCAGTAAACGAAACGCCGAAAACTTCTTCTACTGCGAAGAAGGTAAAGTTTTCCCATGATGTTTCCTTGGCAACCGAGCCTTATCCAGATTTTATGTTTCGCCATAAGTTCTCACTCCTTGTGGTTGGACCAAGTCAATCAGGGAAAACAGTTTTCGTAGAACAGATTCTAACGAGAGATCGTATTGTCTACGAAACCAACAAGCCCCGTCGCATTTTATGGTATTACAGTCA